TTTCACTTCCCTGTGAGCCTTTCACTTCCCTGTGAGCCTTTCACTTCCCTGTGAGCCTTTCACTTCCCTGTGAGCCTTTCACTTCCCTGTGAGCCTTTCACTTCCCTGTGAGCCTTTCACTTCCCTGTGAGCCTTTCACTTCCCTGTGAGCCTTTCACTTCCCTGTGAGCCTTTCACTTCCCTGTGAGCCTTTCACTTCCCTGTGAGCCTTTCACTTCCCTGTGAGCCTTTCACTTCCCTGTGAGCCTTTCACTTCCCTGTGAGCCTTTCACTTCCCTGTGAGCCTTTCACTTCCCTGTGAGCCTTTCACTTCCCTGTGAGCCTTTCACTTCCCTGTGAGCCTTTCACTTCCCTGTGAGCCTTTCACTTCCCTGTGAGCCTTTCACTTCCCTGTGAGCCTTTCACTTCCCTGTGAGCCTTTCACTTCCCTGTGAGCCTTTCACTTCCCTGTGAGCCTTTCACTTCCCTGTGAGCCTTTCACTTCCCTGTGAGCCTTTCACTTCCCTGTGAGCCTTTCACTTCCCTGTGAGCCTTTCACTTCCCTGTGAGCCTTTCACTTCCCTGTGAGCCTTTCACTTCCCTGTGAGCCTTTCACTTCCCTGTGAGCCTTTCACTTCCCTGTGAGCCTTTCACTTCCCTGTGAGCCTTTCACTTCCCTGTGAGCCTTTCACTTCCCTGTGAGCCTTTCACTTCCCTGTGAGCCTTTCACTTCCCTGTGAGCCTTTCACTTCCCTGTGAGCCTTTCACTTCCCTGTGAGCCTTTCACTTCCCTGTGAGCCTTTCACTTCCCTGTGAGCCTTTCACTTCCCTGTGAGCCTTTCACTTCCCTGTGAGCCTTTCACTTCCCTGTGAGCCTTTCACTTCCCTGTGAGCCTTTCACTTCCCTGTGAGCCTTTCACTTCCCTGTGAGCCTTTCACTTCCCTGTGAGCCTTTCACTTCCCTGTGAGCCTTTCACTTCCCTGTGAGCCTTTCACTTCCCTGTGAGCCTTTCACTTCCCTGTGAGCCTTTCACTTCCCTGTGAGCCTTTCACTTCCCTGTGAGCCTTTCACTTCCCTGTGAGCCTTTCACTTCCCTGTGAGCCTTTCACTTCCCTGTGAGCCTTTCACTTCCCTGTGAGCCTTTCACTTCCCTGTGAGCCTTTCACTTCCCTGTGAGCCTTTCACTTCCCTGTGAGCCTTTCACTTCCCTGTGAGCCTTTCACTTCCCTGTGAGCCTTTCACTTCCCTGTGAGCCTTTCACTTCCCTGTGAGCCTTTCACTTCCCTGTGAGCCTTTCACTTCCCTGTGAGCCTTTCACTTCCCTGTGAGCCTTTCACTTCCCTGTGAGCCTTTCACTTCCCTGTGAGCCTTTCACTTCCCTGTGAGCCTTTCACTTCCCTGTGAGCCTTTCACTTCCCTGTGAGCCTTTCACCTCCCTGTGAGCCTTTCACCTCCCTGTGAGCCTTTCACCTCCCTGTGAGCCTTTCACTTCCCTGTGAGCCTTTCACCTCCCTGTGAGCCTTTCACCTCCCTGTGAGCCTTTCACCTCCCTGTGAGCCTTTCACCTCCCTGTGAGCCTTTCACCTCCCTGTGAGCCTTTCACCTCCCTGTGAGCCTTTCACTTCCCTGTGAGCCTTTCACCTCCCTGTGAGCCTTTCACTTCCCTGTGAGCCTTTCACCTCCCTGTGAGCCTTTCACTTCCCTGTGAGCCTTTCACTTCCCTGTGAGCCTTTCACTTCCCTGTGAGCCTTTCACTTCCCTGTGAGCCTTTCACTTCCCTGTGAGCCTTTCACTTCCCTGTGAGCCTTTCACTTCCCTGTGAGCCTTTCACTTCCCTGTGAGCCTTTCACTTCCCTGTGAGCCTTTCACTTCCCTGTGAGCCTTTCACTTCCCTGTGAGCCTTTCACTTCCCTGTGAGCCTTTCACTTCCCTGTGAGCCTTTCACTTCCCTGTGAGCCTTTCACTTCCCTGTGAGCCTTTCACTTCCCTGTGAGCCTTTCACTTCCCTGTGAGCCTTTCACTTCCCTGTGAGCCTTTCACTTCCCTGTGAGCCTTTCACTTCCCTGTGAGCCTTTCACTTCCCTGTGAGCCTTTCACTTCCCTGTGAGCCTTTCACTTCCCTGTGAGCCTTTCACTTCCCTGTGAGCCTTTCACTTCCCTGTGAGCCTTTCACTTCCCTGTGAGCCTTTCACTTCCCTGTGAGCCTTTCACTTCCCTGTGAGCCTTTCACTTCCCTGTGAGCCTTTCACTTCCCTGTGAGCCTTTCACTTCCCTGTGAGCCTTTCACTTCCCTGTGAGCCTTTCACCTCCCTGTGAGCCTTTCACTTCCCTGTGAGCCTTTCACTTCCCTGTGAGCCTTTCACTTCCCTGTGAGCCTTTCACTTCCCTGTGAGCCTTTCACTTCCCTGTGAGCCTTTCACTTCCCTGTGAGCCTTTCACTTCCCTGTGAGCCTTTCACTTCCCTGTGAGCCTTTCACTTCCCTGTGAGCCTTTCACTTCCCTGTGAGCCTTTCACTTCCC